AGTCTCCAAAGCCACGGCTTTAATCCTATCCATATTGTTTAGTAAATTAAAGACTCAGGTGGTCTGAAAAACAGAGATATACAGTAACAAGAGATTCAAAGATTAAAAAAAACTAATGGTTTACATATGTTAAAAATGTATGCAGGCTAAAGGTTAAAGTTCTTAAAGTAAAGAGAGAGAGAGAGAGAGAGAGAGAGAGAGAGAGAGAGAGAGAGAGAGAGAGAGAGAGAGAGAGAGTAGTTGGGTGTGGTGGTACACACCTTTAATCCCAACACTTGGGAGGCAGAGGTAGATTGACCTCTGAGACTTCAAGGTGTAGTAGCACACAACTTTAATCCCAAAACCTGGGAGGCAGAGACAGACAGAAGTCTGTGAGTTCAAGGTAGCACACACCTTTGATGCCAACACAGGGAAGGCAGAGGCAAGTGGATTTCTGTTAGTTCAAGGACAGCCTGGTCTACAGAGTGAGTTCCAGGATAAAGATACATAGAAACCCAGTCTCAAAAAGCCAAAAATTAAAAATAAAAGAAATAGAGTTTAAAATAATGCCATGTAAAAAAAAATACACAGAGAATCTTTTTTTTTTTTGTTTTTGTTTTTTTTGTTTGTTTGTTTGTTTGTTTTTGTTTTTCGAGACAGGGTTTCTCTGTGGCTTTGGAGCCTGTCCTGGAACTAGATCTGTAGACCAGGTTGGTCTCAAACTCGCAGAGATCCACCTGCCTCTGCCTCCCGAGTGCTGGGATTAAAGGTGTGAGCCACCATCACCCTGCTCACAGAGAATCTTGATACTGTATGGTATTATGCTCTCTTTAAATTGTTTGAATGCTGAGGAAGGAGCAACAGCCGCCAAAAAGATATTTGCTTATAAATGCTGCTGAATTAATCCAAGATAGGTATTTTAAAAATACCATGACTTCAATATTGCAGTCAAAACGTATGTTACTTTGGAAAAGAGATTTTGCTTTTGTTCCCACAGGAAATAAGAGACTGTGGATTCATTATGAGTTAAGAAAAATCAGGTTTGGTTAAGAAAGACTACCTGAGAAATCTCTGGTAGGAACAGATGGCCCAGATGTCTGAGTTCTACATCCAGAACAGATTCAAGACTGCTGCCTTAGATGATCAAGCCTCACAGGATACTCCAGTCAGGACTTGATCATAACTCAAAATTTTCTCCATAAGATTATCAATGCCCCCAACCAGCTGGAAGTAACCTGGAATACTACACCCACATTCCTAAAAAAAAAAAAAAAAAATGGACTATGGATATTTTCCTTTGTTTAAAAAAAAAGAGGGGGAAGTGGTGTTGGATAATTGTCTGTATTCTGTCAATCATGTTTTAAATAAATGCTGATTGATCAGGCAGGAAGTATAGGTGGATCAACCAGACAGGAAGTAGAGGCAGGGCAATGAGAACAGGAGTATTCTGGGAAGCAGGAAGCCCTTTCCTCAATCCTGCCCAGACCACCAAAGAAACAGGATGTGACCTGCCCTGCTGAAAAAGGTGCTGAGCCATGTGGCTAACATAGATTAAAAAACAATGGGCTAATATAAACTACAAGAGTTAACAATAAGCCTGAGATAATGGGCCAATCCGTTTATAATCTTATGGAGATATCTTTGTGATTTTCTTTGGGCCTTGCCAGCTGTAGGGAACTGGGTAGAACAGAAACCCCTAAGCAGGCCCTCATGTTGCAATATGTGACCAGTAGTTGGAAAGTATGTGTTGTTAGACTGTGGATCTTTGAAGGATGAGGCAAGAGGGAACTTTGGTGTATAGGGGAAGACTTACAGAGAAGGGGATTTTGGGGGTGAGCATTAGAAGAAGATGAGCACTGAAGGACAGAAGTCCTAAGGCAGACTTTGGCACAAAAGTAGTGTTAGTGAAGACAATGTGACCAGATGTGTGGGGAAAGGGAGAAGGCCCATCCCCTAAGACCACATGGTAAAGGGTGGCTTCTTAAAACAGAACAATGAAGGATGCCACTGAGCTGCATAAAACAGACTTGGTTGATTGGATTGCTGTGTATGCTTGATGTTTGTGGGCTCTCTAAATGCTCACAGATAACAAAACAGCCATTTGCCAACATATACCGATATCAGGAGAAATAACTGACTGTTTGACTGTTCCATAGGCTGAGTCCATGTTGAGTGGGTAAAGTTTGAATGGAAAAGACAAAAAGCACATAGATGGCAGCACCCAACAATTTTTCAAAGAGCCAAGTTCTCTTTTGGAATGTGGCAGCAGTGCCTGGTGTCCCATATGGACCTTCAGAGTGTCTATGTCATCATGGAGAACTTGTGTGATTCCAGCTTTTATGTACAGAATTATTACTTTAAGCAGTCTTGGTTCTTCTACATTTCCACACTGAAGTACGGATATTAATGCATATTTACATATAAACCACATGGCATGAATTATGTCCACTTTAATCTTAGAGAGAGAGAGAGAGAGAGAGAGAGAGAGAGAGAGAGAGAGAGAGAGATTGGAGACTTGCTACTGTTATACTATGTATCAAAATGCAAGAAGTTTGGGGCATGATTGGAATAAGAACTGAGCTGTGCTTTCCCATGCTCTTTGGGTTCAGCATCTAGAAAGAGTAAGTTTTCCTTTCCTTCCTTGCTTCTATGAAGGAAGCTGTGGTTCCTTCTTGCTTTGGCATTCTGAAAATGGATATAGCACGGGTGATGACTCAATGTGAAAACTATTTGCCATCCAAGCATGAAGACTTGAGTTCAGATATATAGACCGCACACAAAGTTAGGATCAGTAGCACAGACCTATAAAATCTTAGCCTTCCAATGGCGAGCTGAAGAGCTGCACAGAGAATCCGTTGCAGCATCCAGCCCAGGTACCTTGACATGGAAAGTGTGAACAAGGGACCTCATTTGAAACAAGTTCAAAGGAAAGGACTGATACTCAAAGCTGTCCTCTGACCTTCATGGAAGCACTGTGGCACATGCATGCCTATCATCAATCACACATACACACAAACATTTGCACAACCATACACAGGAGAGTGTGTATATGTGTGTGTCTTTGTGTATGTAGCATGAAGCACTTCCAAGAACCCTATTTTCTGCCTTGCATGGCTGAAAACATTGCTCATCATCATAGTAAAATATCAGAGTTAATCATTTTATTAAGAGAAAGAATTCTTAGACTCATAAATTTCAGCCAGCTGTGATTCAGCATATCATGGGAAGCTGAGCACAGCTGTTAACTTTATGGAATAACATCACAGAGGAGAAAGAAGACACTATGGTGTCACAGTGACATTTAGGATATGCAAACAGTGATTAATGGTCTCCCTACAATGCTCCCCGTACAAATATCCCACTGTCCCCCACTGGTGTCACTGAGGGTCCCTCCTTTTACATGTGAGCCTATTAGGAACACTCAACATTCCAACATTGTCAAGAAATGGTAAAAGTATAGTTACAAAAGAAGATGGAAACAAAATGTCATAGTCTCCTTTGTTGGTGAATCAAATACTATACAGTGGAGCCCAGGAGTGACTTGCTTTAACAGCTGAACATCTCATCTTTTCTGGATTACAGGATGTGTTTTGGCCAAATAAGCAGGTTCTTCCAAGGGCCAGTAAATATTTAATTGAAGTAAGTTGTTCTTTGGGCATGTTTGGTGCATCAACAGCTTTTGTGAGTCACTTGGTGATTCATTTGACCTTTTGTTGTTGTTGTACAGTTTGTGTGGCTGGGAAGAGAAGAGGAGGCAGGTAATGCCTTTTTTCAGTGCAATGACTCACCATCCGCTCAGTGTGGGAGATGGCAAATGCAGAGATAAGATGTTGAGGGTCAGGTGTAGCATATACCAGGCACAAGCCAGAAAAGAAATGTCCCACATGTTGCTTTCCTAATCAGTGGTTGGCCACTCTGGACAGCAGGTACCTAGAGAAAAAATATTCTTCAATCTTCCATAAGAGGACCCTTGGGTACACAGGGTCCAGGGGTGACATGGTGATCGTCAGAGCGGAAATGAGAAGTAGAAATGAAGTGCAAGCCATAAGAGAGAGAAATAAAAGACATTTGTGGCATGGGATGTGTGGAGAGTCTGGCCTTTGAAATGTTACCACCTGGGTAACCATCTATAAAATGGTCATAATAACTTTATTCTTCACAGGGCTGGAGTGACAAGGGGTGAATGAGATAATGTACAGAGAAAACTTGAGTTTTAGTAAGAACTTGGTCTGTGTGGCTTAGGGTTTTATAACCCGAGTTTCCTTTATTTGCTCTTTCAAAGAGTAGCAGAACTTGAGGGAGTGCCAATCAATGTCTAGTTTGACTTAAGGCCCACTCCTCAAGAAGGAATTCATACCTGACACTGATAGGGTAAACAGAACCAGAGAGTGCGTAGCCTAGAGACCTGGGGTAAAACCAAGTATTACTGATCTAAAAAAAGAATCAATACAATGACTCCTAATGATATTGTGCTACACTCATCGATCAGTGTCTTATCCAGTCATCATCAGAGAAGCTTCTTCCCGCAGCAGATGGGAACAGATGCAGAGACCGACAGTTAGACAGCAGCGAGAGGGAATCTAAATGGGAAGTTTTCATCAAATTGCTCCCCTTAGAGCTCAGGAAACCCTAATGAAAAGGAGGCAGAAAGAGTGTAAGAGACAGAGGGGATAAAGGACATCAGGATAACAAGGCCTCCTGACTCAACTGAGCAGGGCACATATGAGCTCACAGAATCTGAAGCAGAAAGATCAATGCCTGAGTGGATCTGCACTAGGTCCTCTACATATATATTT